AGCCCTTGTGGCTTTTTCTCCATTGAGACGTGTCCTCCATATTGAATCTGTGAAATCTTAATCCTTTCCTCGAAGCCCAATAACTAGGCACAATCTTTTGGGGATGCAAAATGCTGGACAACGACTAGGAAGCAGCAAAGAGACACATAACATATATGGTATGTGTACCAACAATATCTGATGCCTCATAGGTTACCCACCACTTTTCCACTGAGAAAGTATGATATAGTTGCTTCTGTTGTCTTCCACAGCCTGACCTGTGCAGTACAACTGCATCTGAAGAGTGCCAGGTTGGTAAAGGCTGTGTTAGAGACTGGGGGAGATTGGTGTTCAAATTCCTACATTACCATTAACTTCACCAGATGATTTTGCTGTCTCAGCCTAAACTTCCTTGCAGGCAGTATTGGTGGAAAAAGATTGGAAGGGCTTTTGTGAAGGAGAACATAAACTTCCAATAACTAAATATATGCCTTTTTAGAACACTTTCAAAAGTGTTACTACAACTACAACTACGAAATTGCTACAGTCAAAGAGTGACCCTTTCTGAAGAGATGAATGCAATTTTGCAAGAATGAAATTTAGCAGCTGACTCTGATCTTTACTTCCACCAAAATATGTTTACATTGTTGAGCTCCATCTCAATTAATTTTGAAAGTTCTGATATAAAACCAGAATTTATTTAAAAATACCAAACTACTTGTGACACTAAAATGTGTTTTGCATTCAATGTACAGTTCATTTTTTGAAATATCATTAATTGGGAGGTAGTGACAGCCTTCAGGAATGACCAGTAAGGTTTCTACCATGCCCATTTATCAGCTTCAAGGAAGAGACTTTCATCAAGACAAGAGTATGGAAAGGAAAAATTAAATGCACCCTCTGCATCTGTTCTGAATCTCTAGTTATCAGTTCACACATGCAGAAACATTCTCATTTAAAAAAACTGGAAATTAAATGCAAATATGCATTAATACTTGGCCCTTAAAATGAATAAACTGCTGATTCCAAAGGCCCCAAACAGTATGTTTCTCTCAACTACATTTAAAGTTGTTTGTTTGAAATAACTGTGAGTATAATAATGTTAAAAGGAAGAACGTGATGAAAAGGGGGAGTCCTTTTTTTTTCCTCCTCAACTGATTTTGGCTAGGAAAATGGAAACTGGGAACATGTTGACTGTTTTAAAAAGTATCACATTGTAGGCAACATTTTTTAAAAAATGTTTCAGCTGGCTAAATCATTTCATTTTTAAAGAAATGGCTTATTGGAACTCCATCCTGTATGCAAGTCTTTTAAGCCTGCTGGAGAAAAAGCTTCATGAACAGGTTTCTTATATTAAGGTAGAATAAACATGCTTAATTCTCAACTGCTATTTCAAAGGCTTTGGGAGAAAAAAAAAGATTTTTGCTCTATGTAGTCTTGATCATGGTATTACAGAGATGTACAATATGGTCTATACAGATGTTGCTTTGTTAACTGACAATTTAAATGATGCATTTATGGCCAGAATCAGTGGACCTCTTAGCGGAGATGTGAGAGATAACAGAGCACTACTGGCATTAAGTCTGTTTATGAAATGTGTTATAAAAATAACCACAATCTAATGCAATTTACAGCCTCAGGAACATTTAATTCTGTGCTGTATTTTGGCCAACAAATTCCTTTATAGCATAATTTAGTATAGTTTATGAACACAGTTCAGGTTGGCACTAATATTCTTTTTTTTTTTTTTATAATGCTGTTAAGAGTAGAATGTTGAATAGCTTTCTATTGAAAAAGAACCATAAACCTCAGATAACCAAACAAATCCAGTGGTGAAACTGAAAAAACACTGGCTTAAGAGACCCACTAACTGGTGTTAATATAATTTCTACTTCTTGGAGCAGGGCTCTCACCACACAATTGTAGCCACAATCTAGACTTTTTTGGTGCTCCTGCTTGGTGTTATGAACTTCAGTCTTACTTAACAGATAAAGCAACTCATTTTACTTGCCTGATTTCAAATGATAATAGCATCTCCCCCTTTTTTGCTAACCTTAATTCAATCAAGGGCTGCTGCAGTGGTTGTCACCAATGCTCTTATTTGATTACTAGATGATAGCCAGAAATCTGAGTTGTTATCCCTATAAAGATAACAACATAGCTACAATTGTAACTTGATCATTGGGATATATTTACAGGATGTGCTTTGATAGCCAGATACAGTGGTACCTCTACTTACGAACGCCCCTACTTAAGAAATTTTTGAGATACGACCAGCTCCGGCCCCAAAAATTTACCTCTACTTACGAACTTGCCTCTACTTACGAGCCAGATCCGCGGCCATTTTCCTTGCTGCCACGCGGTCGCGGCTTCCAGGGGCGAGATTGCGGTAGCAAGGAGACGTTCGGTGAGGCTTGTGGTGTGTTTTGTGGTGTTTGGAAGGTTTTTGTGGCGTTTGGAAGGTTTTTGAGGTTTAAAAATAAAATGCATATGTTTCAGAACTGTTTAGCCGTATTTACATTGAACCTTATGGGAAAATTTACCTCGACTTGAGACCAACTCGAGTTGCAACCAGAGTCATGCATATGTTTCAGAACTGTTTAGCCGTATTTACATTGAACCTTATGGGAAAATTTACCTCGACTTGAGACCAACTCGAGTTGCAACCAGAGTCATGCATATGTTTCAGAACTGTTTAGCCGTATTTACATTGAACCTTATGGGAAAATTTACCTCGACTTGAGACCAACTCGAGTTGCAACCAGAGTCATGCATATGTTTCAGAACTGTTTAGCCGTATTTACATTGAACCTTATGGGAAAATTTACCTCGACTTGAGACCAACTCGAGTTGCAACCAGAGTCACGGAACGGATTAAGTTCGTAACTAGAGGTACCACTGTATAGAACCATTGTAGCTCCTCTGCGTGTTGAAAGAATGGAAGAGAAGAGAGCCCCTTACAAATCATGTGCTGAATCTGCCATCCACCTAACACTTCCATCTTTCTGTGTGAGGGATAAATGATCCAAATAGAAGCTGTGTCATCTAAGCTTTGGGCAGATTATGAAGAGCACATATAGGTACCAAGGAATAATAACCCAGTTAGAAGTTCAGGATTCATTCCTCACTTCTGCCTTATCCTCAGTGTCCTCTAAAGCTTCAATTGTAAAGCATACTGTAAAACACACAATTCCTACTGAACTCAGCTGAGCCAGCAATCAATTAGCTCAGCAGCCCACCAAAGATGGTACTGTTAGACAAATTAGGTTAACACCCACCATATCCATTCTGTAAGATCAGATAGAATCAGCAGGCTGCAGGTCCCTTCCTTTAAACAATGCCTTCTGATGAGACCTTGGAAGTAGGCCTTCTGTGTTGCAGAGTCTGGTCTCTCGAAGAGCAACCCCCTTGAGATTTGCATGATTTCGACCCTGCTGTCCTTTAAACAGGTTCTGAAGACCTGGCTTTTTTCCTCCAGGTTCTGGGCTATGGTGAGATGTGGGCTCCCTTTGTGAGAGATGTTATGGACTTTTAATAGATGTTTGCTCCACCTGGATGACTTATCTTTTTTGACTGACTTAATGTTTTATACCTTTTTTTTAAATTATGTACACCACCTAGAACTCTTGATGTATTGGGCAGCCTTAGAAATGTGAATTATATATTTACGTATATATACAGTAATACATACTGAATTATAATTATGTATACATTCATACATACTTACAGGACCATTTCTCCCCAATTGTTTCTATATATCCTACCCAATCTGGAAAAGGGGGCATGCTCTGGGTACCATCACTAAAGAGCATCAGCTGGCAGGGCCCAGAACCTTTTCTGCTGTGGCACCCGCCCTTTGGAACATCATTTCCCCTGAGATTAGATTGGCCCCGTCCCTGTTGGCCTTTCATAATGCCTTGAAAACCTGGCTTTGTGCTCAAGTCTGGGGCCCTGGGTGTGGATTGGAGCCCGTCTCCTGGTTGTATGGATGATAGATTAGATCATGCCCGGCTGCTATGTGTTTTTATTTTTGTTTTCTATTATGCATTTGTTTTATTGTAAGCCACCTAGAGTCATGTAAAAGTGAGATGGGTGGCTATATAAATCAAGAAATACATACATACATACATACATACATACATACATACCAACCACACAATGGCAGAAATCAAATGAAAGGTGCAAACGGTATCCTAGTTCAGATATTTGAAGCAACTCGGAAACATGAAACAAAGCTAATCTACTAAGTCTCCACAAAGAAAATGTTTTGTAGCGTAGGCCCTACCAAACTCAGAATTCCTTTTTTAATTGTAATAGAAGTAAATGGTTAAAAATTTCAGTAACTGTGCAAAGCATTGAAAGAGGAGCTTTGTGAAGCATGCTGGCCTGAGCATGAACTATTGAGGCAGAATCCTCTTTGCTTCACTGGCAATTGCAGGAGACGTTTTGTGGGTGCACGCGCACAAATGCAGAGATAATCCAGGAAAGCTCTTGCAGATGTGCCAGGCGTCCCAATGAATACAACTGCCTTAGCGCTTAAAGGAGGGATGTTTCACATGCTAATGTGCCTCATCAAGTGTCTTTTAAAATGCTCTGCATAGCCCTAATAGACATAAGCCCATGGCTTTATTGTTATTTAGAGGCTCCAAGCTACAAATATTAAGGTTCCAGAAGATCTGTATTTATATATTTGTCATTCCCATCATTCTTAAGTCATGGGGAATCGTAACAAGATAGGAGAGGATGTGATCTATTTATTTGACTGTGTCATGTTTGCTTTCGATAATTATATATCACCTGGAAACTAATTAGTTGGGCCATTGGGATTCACTTCCCATTAATGAACATGGGTATCGCATTGGTTAAGGGTTGCTCAGTTCGGAGACAATGTACCCTTTTGATTCTGACTGTTCTCTGCATATACTATAGAGGTCTTATAGAACTGCATTACCTTTTCAGTACAGATATATTCATTTTGTTCTAGTGTTTCCTAATAGGCCTGTTTTCTCTGGCTTTTTAAGGTGTGCTTTCTCTGCCTGCCTACTTCAGCCCTTACAATGATGGATCAATATGCAGCAATGGAAGAGCTGATGCTTATGCCCAACTAGAACTTCGAACTTTAGAACAATCTCTCCTGGCAACTTGTGTTGGAAGCATCTCTGAATTGAGTAAGTTACGTAAGCAACTGATACATTATTAATTTACACAATATATGGGACCTTTCTCTATTAAAATTAGAGAAAAAATGTTTCGCACTTTCCTTTTGTTTTGCATGAACTGACACTGCAAAATATAAATGTTTCAGGATGTTTTTCAAGAAAATAAGACCCTTTCATTGGATCTTTCAGATTTTAATACGATAGCCAGAGATTAACTTCTGTCCCCATCAGATTATTAAAACTGTTATTTAGGGGTTATCAATAGTACTTTATCATTTTTAATAATAATTTTATTGATGATTATATTCTACAGATAAAACTAACAGAATCTGCATAGTATAAAAATATATAAAAAAGAAAAAATATATAAAAAAATATTAAAAAGTACAGAAAAAGAATGAAAAGAAAAAGAAGAAACCTCCCCCTTCATCCCCAGCAAGTATAATCAACATTAACAATTTATCACTATCTCTTAAAGTAAAACCAAGCATCTCTTCATCCCAAACCTCACACCATTCTCTATAAACCAATTCCTAGAACCTCATTTCTTCATATTAATCAGCAAAAGTCCATTAAGGGTTATCAGAAGTAACAACATAACTATTACAGACTATATCTACTAAACCAAATTTGAATCCTTCCTTTTATATTTTTTTATATTTTATAAAAGATGTATGTTTGGAATTCAAATGTCTCATCCTCATTACATCGACCTGTCCCACCTGGTCAGGCAGAGAAGGTATGTTACAGACTCTGTCAATGAAAGAATGTTGACTGGCAGGGCCTAGGAGGAGAGCCTTCTCTGCCATTGCCCCCGCCCTATGGAATATTCTCCCTCCCAGAGGTGAGGCAGGCACCTATTCTCCCGACCTTCTGGAAAGGGGTGAAGACCTGGCTCTGCCAATTTGCATGGGGCAAGAAGAGGGGCAACCAACCCTAGGGGTGGGTGGCACCTTGAAAATGCTCCTGTAACTTTTATTTACCATCAGTATCTTGGAAGCCGTTATTTGTGTATGAACATGGTTTTTCATTGTATTTTCATTGTATTTTAATTAATATTTATTCTCATTTTACTGTAAACTCCCCAGAGTTGCTCTTGAGTGAGATGGGCGGTGACTAAATTTGAAATATAAATAAATAAAATATCCCTTTCTGATTAAATATATCCCCCTATTTCCTCTCTTCAAATTAACAAAATCTTTAAAGCATTGTCATCCAGTCCCAATCAACAAACCATTAAACATTACCAGAAATAGCAACCCATTTATTTTAATCTTGATCAAATAAACCAATATTATATTCTTTCTTCTTTCTCCCAACAATCTTTAGAACCCTCAAACAAAGTTCTAACATCTGCTTTCTCATACTCTGCCTCTTCTCTCAAAATCTTTGGTGTCTTTATCAAGCTCCTTTTATAATTCCAGTAGAAAGAAGTTATCCATGTCACTGTTCATATTCTCACTGTGTCTTCTCAAAAGATCTTTGACAGCATCAACAAGTCCCTTTTGTAAATCCAATGTAGAGACATTATCCACATCACTCTTCTGGTTTAATATTTGTACAGTATGTCTTTTTTAATTATTAAACCATCATCCAGTTTCATTTGTAAATCCATTGCTTCCATCTCTTTCTTATAGGCTATCATTTTTGAATCCACATTCAAATCAATTTCAGTTTTATTCAATGGGGCCTATTCCTCTTCAGTAACATCTTCTAATTTTCTGTAATAGCAAATAACTTCATAACTTCCTGAGCCCATTCATCATAGATTTCTCTTAAGGTAGCCATTGATGCATTTATTTCCTTCTGGTGCCCTCTAGTGTCCAACCTTCAAAGTCATCTTATCAGTTGTTTCCAAATATAGACAGACATTTTCCCATGGGAAGGACTCTTTCAATTAACTTCAAAGTCTTAAATCAAGTCCATCTGAGCCCTTAATCCATTTAAAACTTTCTAAAACCAACCTTTTGCTATATATTGCTCCCCCCCCTTTTTTTTTTTTTACAAATCTTTAAACTTGGATGCCATTTTTGGCCACACTGTTGTCCCTCTGTTCAAGGGACATAGTTCGCCATGATGCTCACTGGAAGTCTCCCAATAAACATGGTACTTTATACATGAAACATCTTCTTACCCCAAGGGATTTAGAATCTAAAATTCTACATATGGAAAGCAACAGAAGAGATCAAGTTCACCTCCTAGAGTCTGCAACTCCGTGGTTTTCTTGGCAGTTCTGCAGAGGAGTTTTACTATTCCCTTCTTCTGTATTGCTGTTTCAACATCTCAGGGTGGCTAACAGCCTTAAAATTCCAAGGCACCCCCAAGTTCTAATCAGGGCCAATCCTACCTAACTTCTGAAGTTAACCAAGGTGTTGTCAACTGCTGAAGTAAGCAACCCAGTACATGGAAGAAAATGGGGACAAGGCAAATGAGGGGAAGTATGTATTTCAATGTCATACATTTCATTTTCGTCGCTGTAGGTGGCTTTGACCAGGAATGTGTTTCAGAGATTTCATGGGAAAAGCATGCTTTATGAGATGTAAGAAAGGATCTTCTTATCATGATATTATGGAAGAAAATGCCAGGCAGAGAGAAAGGGATTGTCCTAAGGAAAGAGGACGTAAAGGAGGACAAAGCTATCAAGGATTTTGAAGCTAAAGATTAAAATTACAGCATATACACAACCTAGCAATGGGTAGAAATGATTTACATCAACTGTATGATAAAACTGTGTAAATGTGTGAGTGCCTGCCACTTATTTTGGCACCAGTACAACATTGCAATTGCTTTGGTAACCACCAAACTGGTTGAACTGAGCATCTGAAAGTAGCAACTGTTTATGCTGCATTTGCTTTGCCAGCCATAGATTACATCCCACTTAATGTTTGAAGGACCAACTTGTTTTCCATTCCTGCTGAAAATTGCAGAGAGGAACTTGTGGGCCCCAATACTTGGCTAACATGCCACATCCATCCTAAGGGCAGCTTTCCAGCCTAGGAGCCAATCTGACATTCTTGTTAGTGAGTAACTAAATTAATAAGTAAAACGTATAATGTCATTATTCTGTGTTTTTAAAAGGCACAGACAATATCACAGATATTTATATATAATATAAGCTATGAAAAGTCTGTTTATATTTTGATCAATGTAAACTATGTTTTAGAGTGTATACTATTTAAGGGGTGCTTTGTAGACTGTTTTTCCCATGGAAAAGCATTTGTCTTTGCATTTCTCCTCTAGTTTACCACCATCTGAATGGGACTGTCAGGAATCAGTTCATACCTTACAGGTCTCACCATTTATTTCATGACCTGCATTCATTTTATTTAAAAAAAAAAAAAGGCTTAGCAAATCTGTGTATTTTGCAATACAAGAGTGTGCTTGTGGCTCCAGTCCATGATTAGGCACAGCTTTCTTTCCCCACTTTGTGAACCCCGTTTGGCTTGTTCACTGATTGCCTTTAATGAATAGATCTCCTGATATAATCTCTTGTCAGAAAATTTGAATTCCAAATGTACATCTTTTATAAAACATTTTACAAGTTTATAAAGATAAAAACTATTTCTTTTTATAAAAGATATACATCTTTTATGTACAGTATATTGAATGTATGCTAACAGAAGACTCACGATTTTATTTCACATTATAAGATGTAATACTTAGTCAAACAATTTTCTTTAAAAAATCTATAATCTTTGTTTCTTCTGAACAGAGAATGTGTAGCCCAATCCTATTCATTTCATTCAAATGCCATTCTACTGTATTAATTTAAACTCATTCTAAGTAAATCTGTAAGCTTAAGTAAGTGCCACTGAATTCAATGCATTTTACTCCTTAGTAAGGAGTATGTTCCAGTGAAGACTAAACATCCTGCTATTTAGGACTGAGGCCCAAATTTCCTTTTTGCAGTGGTAAGAAATAAACATTCACATTTATATGACTTTTCAGGAATCAGTTTTGAAGTCCTTATTACTACTTTCATTATTGCCATTTCCCAGCATTGTAATAAAAAAATGAAAACTCTTTCCAGTGAACCCTACATTCCAAAAAAATAGAGGATACCCAGAGAAAAATAGGAATCTGGAGCCTGTGTACAATCCAAATGTAGAATTCTATTTATTCAAACCACTGATGGGCAGAAACGTAACTTGATCTTTGATATTGTGAGACTTTAAATAAAATATATATATGTCTGTATATCAGACTGATTGATTTAAAAAAAAATTAAACTGACTGGCGAACTTGCAACCCCCCAAGCAATCAGAGTCTATTGTGGCTTTTTTAGAAACTTAGCAATCCTCTCCTTTTTTAATTCTCAAACTAGAGGCTTGTTGAGTTATCATACTAGCTCTATAAAGCGCATGGTACAGACCAGCTTTCAAGGAAATACCAATTGACCAATATCAGCTACTGTATATTGAATGTGTTATATATTCAGAGGACATAGTATCCTTTCAATTGCTTTAATAAACTGTGAACAGCCCCATCTGTGGTTCAAAGTCATATTGTCCAAGTAAACTAGAAAAATAAAACACCATTTACTATTGACTTCTTTTTGTAGCTTGTTCTAGAAAGAACTAGCCAGAGTGTCTGTTGAGATGCCATGAACAAACCACATACGGAACCATAAGCACTTACAGAAACCAGAATTCAAGAAAGCAACCTCTTACGTCATTCATACTGGGTCATTGAGCTTGTATGTAATATGTATACTGCAAAAAAGTCAACTTGTCATAAGCTGGGAGGCTAACCCAATATTGGCACTGAAAAGCAAGCTTTCCTAATTCTAGTAAGAAGTTCAAAATAATGTAAACAGCTTAGGAATAGGTTTTAAAACATGGTTAGCATTCAAAAGGGTCTCAGAATAAACTGAAGCAGAATATATACAGTATACCTCTCAGATAGCCTTTTAGTGAGCATCGGTGAAAGGCCTTCATCAGATGTGAAACATCAACATGCTTTTTGAAAATATGACTGTTTTTGTTTCTTCCTCTGCTCCTTTTCCAGGTGATTTGGTATCACGAGCAATGCACCACATGCAGTGTTTGACTACCCTTCGCCCTGGCATGAGCCCTGTTCGGCAAACCAGACAACAGCAGCCACCCATCACGTGGTCCCCTGATGCCCTCCATACCCTTTACTACTTTTTACGCTGTCCTCAGATGGAATCCATGGAAAACCCCAACCTGGATCCTCCAAGGATGGCCTTGAATAATGAACGGTAGGTCTTGCTGTTTGTACTCCAAAATGACTTTTCAAGTTAACAGAGACTCATTTTGTAGAACAGAGCATTTTAAGTCTGGTTTGCTCTGTGAATTCCACATAATCAGCCTTCACCAGTCATTTCTGTAGCATAGCCAGGACATTTTCTTAACTTGGCTGGCTTGTTGGAACTGGAACCAGAATGTTACAGAGGAAAGGCCTGGAGAGTTCACAAATTTTATTTTCCAGTGTTCAAAGCTTTTTAAAAACTGTTTGTTTCTCCCCTCCAGACATGTTGATCTACAATTCCCATAGTCCCTAGCAAATTTTCAAGGTGTAGAAATAGTTAATCTTTTTATAAGAAAACTGAGGATCATAAAATATGAGGATGTTTTCTCAGATTCAGTACTTGGTACAATTTTTCTGGTATAGTAACTCCTCACTGCCCATTCTAAATTTCTAATTTTCCCTCTTGCATGCTGTGAGAGTTGTTGATCTAAGCAGATTTCAAATAAAAATATTAGATTTTAAGCTTCCCTGAAAAATCCTTTTCTATTTGGATTTGGGTCAGAAAGAAGAAAAGGCCAAATCTGTTTTTCAAACTGTATCTCTAGTATATTCTGAAGCCAATATACATGCTGCAAAAATATTGGTTGTTTTTGATAAACTTCATATTGAGAATCTTTAAATCAATATTTAAAGTATATACACATGGACATTAATCCAACCGAGCAAGTGCAATATAATTGCAGGTGTCTTAATAAAGCGCTGTTTCAAAGCATTAGTTCCACTAATACTGCTTAGAGCAGGCATACATGGGAGAGCACTGAATATGCCCACTGTTCTACTTCCAAACAATGGATCAATAGTATTCCCTTTTTCTTTTTCTGCTCTTCCTGGCTCCCTGATCAAGCTAGAAAATTGCATGTGCAGATCCATTTCTCATCCATGCGCACACTTATGGAATTCTTCCTCCATGCAATATAATGTTTAAGCCCAGGTGAACACATAAGCAAATGCAACCTGGAAGATAACAGATTCAGAACTAGGTGGCTGCCTCTGAATAAAAATCCAACCAGCCTTTGAAAATGATCAAAAAATATTCTGCGCGCTTTTTCACAATAACTTCAGTGCTTGCCATTTAAGGTGTCCAGGGGGATATATACTGCAGAGGATACTGTATACACAGAATTCTGTTCATTTATTTCCAGCAAGAGGAAAAAGTAAATTGAGGTTATTTCTGAGTATGCCAGACCCGCAGCGTGCTGCATAAAGGCACTGATTCACATACTCGTTCTTGGCAAGACTATAAGAGCCAGCCTTTTTTTAGTGCTAAATCAGCTGCAAATTCTGCATCACTCCATTGTGCCTCACTGGACTTCTGAAGTGTGCTTTTGAAGGCGTTGCAAACCTAAGGAAAAATCTCAGCTTTAAAGCAAAGGAAATGACATTGAAGATCAGCTGTGCTATGGCTTTTCAGATGCCTGCAAAACCTATTAATGCTGAATACAGTCATTCTAAATAGCAAGAAAGGTGATGCACGTTTTTGCCAAAAGCCACCCCTATCGTTATTTTAACTGGTGGACATTAGAGCAAGCTCCCCCAGTCTGGCACCCTGCAAGGGTATTGGATTTCAAATCCCGAAGCCTTCAGAAGCCCAAGACTGCTTTTGATTAATTTTGTGAGAACTTGCTAGCTCATTGATCTTTCAGTTGGTTATTCATCAAATTCTCTTCAACCTTTTCTTTAGTGTTTCAGACAGTGGTGCTACTAAATTTGAAGAGAGTAGGCAAAATGTCCTTTGGAGGTCCTTAGTCCTCTTCTTCTGGTCTTTCTTTTATTTTAGTCTCTCCCTTTTCATCCTACTCCAGATACTTCTTGCCTGCCTGAGAAGCCATTTCTGTGACTCTGTTACCTCCTGACCTTTCCTTTTCCTAACCGCACACACCCACACACCCTTTAGGGTCCCAACGTGCACTGGCAATTTGAGAAAATTTATGTGACTAATAAAAGGGGACGCGGTGGCGCGGCGGCTTAATGACGCTGAAAGTTGCCAGCCAGAAATGGTCGACGCTTCAGCAGTTCGAGTC